ATATTATTATATTATTATAAATAAAACTACCTGATTGGATAAATATACAAAATATGTCATTTGAAACAGGTAAGAATAAGGATTTAGAACATACACACCTTATATATGTACATATTATTATAAATAAAACTACCTGATTGGATAAATATACAAAATATGTCATTTGAAACAGGTAAGAATAAGGATTTAGAATAAAGTACCATACACACCTGTTGATTTAGTTGATTTAATATGTATTGATGATATTCGAAAGGATTATCAGTAAGTTCTCCTCTTGCCTTTGTAGCTTCCATTAAATGATGCCAGGCTATGAGTCTTTGTGCTAAAACAGTACCTCTTGCCTCAAATCCCTATGAGAAATATTAATGAATAATGTTTCATATTTTAAATATCAATTATGTCTTTCTCAAATTAAAAAAAAAAAAAAACAGATTTATATTTGTACATACCATTTGAGGGTCTGTGAAATCTGGAAGCTTTTCAGTCGTGAGAGGAATAATTAGACATATCGACGAAAATGCAAAAACCACCATCAAAATGATATATGGATGATGAGCAACTAGGCGAGGAAACCAGAACACTTCCATTTTTATAATTTCTTGTGCTTTGTATTTTATATGTTTATTTCAAATACATCTTTATGTGGAATGAATAAAGAGAATCACAGATATAATTAATAAGTAGTCATTTATCATCTCTCTATTAAGTTCATCAAAATATATTTTCAACAGCATTAAAACACTTTTTTATAATAAACAAATTCCTTGTATCACATAATCATTCTCGTCTCATTTTATTCAGCACTTTAGCGAATATTTTAAACGTTCTTGGTAGAATGCTTTCGTAATTCTCGATTTATACATCACAGTCTACGCTTTGTATATAGTTTCGAAAATATCTGAATGTGAAATCAGTATTCAGCGAGTTGGGGTCGGGGATACATGGAGAAACGACCGTATATGAACGCAACAAATTTAAGCCAAATGTTTGAATTCCTCGATATATTTCTTATAAATAATACTTCTCTTTTTATTCTCATATTTTTATTCAATCACATTGGACACGTTATATTCTTGATCTCTTGTTAATTTCTAGATAAGTAATTACGTTATGCGTCTACTTCAAATAGCACGTGTTTACATGACAAATGGTACGATCCGAGTGAATCGTGAATGTATATATAACATACATACATGGCATCAAGCATCAAGAAACAACTGGCAGAATATGTATATGTACAAGCAGTAGCCAGTAGCGGCACTCGGCACTCCGTGTCGGTTCTTTTGATGTGTCCGAAATCACGTGTCAGGTTGCCACGTTTTTGGTAGTAGCAGCGCGCTAATATTTAAATTGTGAGAAAGGAAGAAACAATTATAGAAAATTATTTTCGTATTATATAAATATTAACGCAATTCATATTTTCTTAAATAAATATTGCAAATGTAACATTAAAGTAACGCAAGTAATCATATAAAAATAAGTGAAAAATGAAATTAATAAGTAATAATATTAAACATATATTTATAATTTATCATGTATTATTTTTGTATTTACAATAAACAGGTAACATTTATAATTTCTAACATGTTTAGTTTATTCCTTATAAATAAGATATTTAAACTATCAAGATTAATATTGCAGTCATTTATCGGACAGATGTGGTAGGAAATCTCTTTTCTATTTTATACTAAATAAAATTTTTATAATAATTGAGAATTTGTAATTTTCAATTGAAATATTTACTTTAATTAATATTTCTTTTTACATTTATTATTGTAAAAATGGGTTTTTATATAATATATAATATGTATATATTTATATTTATTTATATAATATGTATATATTTACAATAAATAAATGTAAAAATTATTTTGTTTAAGACATGCTGTTTAATAATCAGCAGCATTGTTGGCCAGATAATCGCGACGCCCGATATTAGACGCCTGCTTGTTCTGTACAGCCTCCAGTTTCGGACACTCTGTGATCCTGTGTCCGAGCCCGCCGCAATAACTGCAACCGCGTTCGTCTCCAAGATTCAAATATTTTTCGTTCTCCGAGCAGAGTTCCAACAAGTACGGCGGTACTTTCTGTTTTGCTTCCATCAGCAGATGTTTAAGATCAAGCAGTACCGACTCATCGTTCGCTTTATTTATAAAAGTTGTCGCTATACCGGTACGTTCAGAACGACCGGTTCGTCCTATCCTGTGCACATAATTTTCTATATCATCCGGCATATCATAATTAATAACGTGTTGCACATCGGCGAAATCAAGACCTTTCGATGCGACGTCTGTCGCGACAAGCACATCTTTTCGACCCGCACGAAACGCTTCCACCGAACGTGATCTTTCTTCCTGATCTATTCCTCCATGTATCGCGACAGCTTCCACTCCTTTAATGAGCAAATATTCGTGGATAGCGTCCACATCGCGCTTCTTCTCCGCGAATATTAAAACCGGCGGCGCAGTCTTCTGAAGGCATTCCAAAAGATAAACAATTTTAGCCTCTTGTTTGACATACTCTACTTCCTGTATCACGTTCATCGATGCAGCACCGGCACGACCGACATTTATTGTCACGGGTTTTACCAATGCCGAACGTGCGAAGTTTTGAATTCTTTTTGGCATAGTAGCAGAGAATAACAGCGTTTGCCTCTGACCCCTGAAGAATGAAAATATCGTTCGCACATCCTCCTCAAATCCCATATCTATCATGCGATCTGCCTCGTCCATGCAAAGATAACGACATACGCTTAAAGTGACCATTTTTTTATGTAACATATCCATCAGTCGTCCCGGTGTCGCTACCATTATGTGCACGCCTTTGTTGATTATAGCTAATGATTCCGAAACCGGTACACCTCCGATCGCCAAGCAGCAGCGTATTTCCGGGCAACCCACTTGCCTTAAGCTATTGGTATAGTGTCGAATTATGTCATAGGTTTGCTTAGCTAATTCCCTTGAAGGACATATTATCAAGCCATAAGGTCCCTCTTTCTTAATGAATGGCATATCAATTTCTTGTTCCAGACAAAATTCTATGATAGGTAAAACAAACACTAAAGTTTTACCACTACCGGTGGAAGCTATACCGATCATATCACGACCAGACAATACTGTAGGTATTCCTTGAACTTGAATTGGAGTTGGCTTGATAATGCCTTTTTGTTCCAATCCATGCAGGATACCTATGTGAAATTTCATTTCTTTAAAAGTCTTCAAAGGTGATGGTATGTCATCACCTTCCACAAGTATCCTAAGTTTCTTTCGTATTCTTTTATGATATGCCTCTCCAAAACTGAGTATGACTCTTGGTGGTTGCCAATTAGTTTTAATAGGGTCTTTATATTGGATACCTTTAGCCAATTCGGCCACACCCATTAAAGCTTTATTTTCAGAAACGCTTTCCAAAATTTTTTCTTCTTCCTTCAAACGCTTCTCCATAGCGCTCTCCTTCTTGGCTTCAGCCAATTTTTTCAATTTGGTATGTTGGTCGAGAAGAGAAATGTTGGATTTTCTCCCCCAAACTTGCCCGTCATCATTATCAGCGTCATCCTTTTCATTCTCGCTGCTACCTTTTCCAACACCTTCCTCTTTTAGTTCTGCAAGTTTACCCAATTTTGCGAGAAATTGCTTTTTACGATGTTTAACAGATATATATGGCACATAATTATCATCATCTGACATGCTGTTTAATAATCAGCAGCATTGTTGGCCAGATAATCGCGACGCCCGATATTAGACGCCTGCTTGTTCTGTACAGCCTCCAGTTTCGGACACTCTGTGATCCTGTGTCCGAGCCCGCCGCAATAACTGCAACCGCGTTCGTCTCCAAGATTCAAATATTTTTCGTTCTCCGAGCAGAGTTCCAACAAGTACGGCGGTACTTTCTGTTTTGCTTCCATCAGCAGATGTTTAAGATCAAGCAGTACCGACTCATCGTTCGCTTTATTTATAAAAGTTGTCGCTATACCGGTACGTTCAGAACGACCGGTTCGTCCTATCCTGTGCACATAATTTTCTATATCATCCGGCATATCATAATTAATAACGTGTTGCACATCGGCGAAATCAAGACCTTTCGATGCGACGTCTGTCGCGACAAGCACATCTTTTCGACCCGCACGAAACGCTTCCACCGAACGTGATCTTTCTTCCTGATCTATTCCTCCATGTATCGCGACAGCTTCCACTCCTTTAATGAGCAAATATTCGTGGATAGCGTCCACATCGCGCTTCTTCTCCGCGAATATTAAAACCGGCGGCGCAGTCTTCTGAAGGCATTCCAAAAGATAAACAATTTTAGCCTCTTGTTTGACATACTCTACTTCCTGTATCACGTTCATCGATGCAGCACCGGCACGACCGACATTTATTGTCACGGGTTTTACCAATGCCGAACGTGCGAAGTTTTGAATTCTTTTTGGCATAGTAGCAGAGAATAACAGCGTTTGCCTCTGACCCCTGAAGAATGAAAATATCGTTCGCACATCCTCCTCAAATCCCATATCTATCATGCGATCTGCCTCGTCCATGCAAAGATAACGACATACGCTTAAAGTGACCATTTTTTTATGTAACATATCCATCAGTCGTCCCGGTGTCGCTACCATTATGTGCACGCCTTTGTTGATTATAGCTAATGATTCCGAAACCGGTACACCTCCGATCGCCAAGCAGCAGCGTATTTCCGGGCAACCCACTTGCCTTAAGCTATTGGTATAGTGTCGAATTATGTCATAGGTTTGCTTAGCTAATTCCCTTGAAGGACATATTATCAAGCCATAAGGTCCCTCTTTCTTAATGAATGGCATATCAATTTCTTGTTCCAGACAAAATTCTATGATAGGTAAAACAAACACTAAAGTTTTACCACTACCGGTGGAAGCTATACCGATCATATCACGACCAGACAATACTGTAGGTATTCCTTGAACTTGAATTGGAGTTGGCTTGATAATGCCTTTTTGTTCCAATCCATGCAGGATACCTATGTGAAATTTCATTTCTTTAAAAGTCTTCAAAGGTGATGGTATGTCATCACCTTCCACAAGTATCCTAAGTTTCTTTCGTATTCTTTTATGATATGCCTCTCCAAAACTGAGTATGACTCTTGGTGGTTGCCAATTAGTTTTAATAGGGTCTTTATATTGGATACCTTTAGCCAATTCGGCCACACCCATTAAAGCTTTATTTTCAGAAACGCTTTCCAAAATTTTTTCTTCTTCCTTCAAACGCTTCTCCATAGCGCTCTCCTTCTTGGCTTCAGCCAATTTTTTCAATTTGGTATGTTGGTCGAGAAGAGAAATGTTGGATTTTCTCCCCCAAACTTGCCCGTCATCATTATCAGCGTCATCCTTTTCATTCTCGCTGCTACCTTTTCCAACACCTTCCTCTTTTAGTTCTGCAAGTTTACCCAATTTTGCGAGAAATTGCTTTTTACGATGTTTAACAGATATATATGGCACATAATTATCATCATCTGTATAAATATTGTCCTCTTCCTCCTCTCTTCTATATCTCTTCATTGGAACCTCGTTATTATCCATTGGAATACAAAGAAATGGATAAAGGATACGAAAGCCAAACACGTGGATGATGCAATCACTGTGTTCTTTGTATTTAACAACTTTATAACGAAATTATAGATATCGGCTTCAACCTTCAACCGAGTAACTTGTTAGAATTATGGTTATGTTTGTGGTTATTATGCTTCGCCGGTACGACTTAGGCCGGTATTCATAGTCCGTTCTTATATCCAAGATCGTCTTATGCCCGTATCAGACTACGCATTGAAAATTGAAGATTGAAGATTAAAGATTGGAATTTGACTAATCAGAACAAAAGGGACTAAAATTTCTTTATTCTGATTGGTCAAATTTTAATTTTGAATCTTTAATCTCAATCTTCAATGCGTAGTCTGATACGGACTTTAAGTGTGGTCTTGGGTCGTCTTAAGATCCCATTCAACCAATGAAAGGCCGCATAGTATCTTAAGATCGTACTTAAGACGATCTTGAATATAAGAACGGACTATGAATACCGGCCTTAAAGGCCTCAAGCTGAGGCTGCGGTCGGGAAGACGCTAGAAATGCTTCAAAGCATTAACCAATCAAAATAAAGAAATCTTTACTCTTTTTGTCCTGATTGGTCAATCAAATGCTTCGAAGTATTTCTAGCGTCTTCCCGACCACAGCCTGGTACGACTCAGCGACTCACACGTGATCGGTCCTTTCGCCAATCGTGGGCCAGCATAAATGCGCGAACGATATTAAGCCTATCGTTATCGCTATCGCCTAGCATTGTGCGATAGGCTTTATCAGTTACGTATCATGAGCGTCACATAATATATAATATTAAACATATATAATGCATATCAAG